CACTCACTCACTCACTCACACACACTCACTCACTCACTCACTCACTCACTCACTCACTCACTCACTCACTCACTCACTCACACTCACTCACTCACTCACTCACTCACTCACTCACTCACTCACTCACTCACTCACTCACTCACTCACTCCTCACTCTCTCACTCTCTCACTCTCTCACTCTCTCACTCTCTCACTCACTCACTCACTCACTCACTCACTCACTCACTCACTCACTCGGACCGTCTCACGCTGATATCAGTTTCTGCTTGTAATTCACACACCCTTCCCAGAATGCCGAGCGACACCGGATTTGAGAGCGTCACACACGCTGTCGGACGCCGCTGCGCTGCCCTGTCACTCATCCTCCCGACGGTCCGCCTTCCTCTGATGGGTTTGTCTTGTAAACTGTCAGGAAAGATTAACTTCTGAAGACCTGCTGGCGACCCGCAAACACAACCAGTGAGAAAACTTTCCTCAAACTCCCGCTCGCTCCAGCCGCATCACTTCAGACCGGATTAATAAGGAGCGTTGCCATGGCTGCCACTCCTCTGATGTCAGAGGGAAGCGTGTCATTTCCTGGATGTTAAAATACTGAGTCTGAGGACTTTCTGAAGAGTGAAGCCGTCAGAACATCGATCTGTGTGTTTGAAGGACAACGACTTTTCACTTCAATATTCAGCCAGAATAACTAGAACAATCTTCTGAACACTACAGACGCAGTCGAACGGGCCGAGCACACGCTAATGAGCACTCGGCATCACAACAACTGTGCAAGTGAACACATATTAAAATGATTTTAGGCATAATGGCTGAAAAACTAGTAAAAAGCAAGAAACTGCAGCCACATCATTCAACAACCTCGCTGCTATTCTATTATAAATTCTATTATAACAATCTTGTTATATAGTGTACTTTTGTACATAATACATTTTATATACTTAATATATATATATATATATATAAAAATATGTATTTTTACATATTTTAATACATTTAAAATATCAAATAAATACAAAATTTAAATTAAATTGAATTAAAACTTAATATATTTGTAGTAAATTTACTAAATATATATATATAAATATTTTACATTCAACAATCTTTTTATATATTGTATTTTTATTTAGTATTTTTATACATAATGCATTTTATATGCTTAATAATATTTATATATTTTAATATGTATTTTTACATATTTTAATACATTTAAAATATCAAATAAATAAAAAATTTAATTAAATTGAATTAAAACTTAATATACTTGTAGTAAATTTACTAAATATATATATATAAATATTTTACATTCAACAATCTTTATTTATTGTATTTCTATTTAGTATTTTATACATAATGCATTTTATATGCTTAATATTTATATATTTTAATATGTATTTTTAACATATTTCAATACATTTAAAATATCAAATAAATAAAAATTTAAATTAAATTGAATTAAAACTTAATATATTTTTAGTAAATTTACTAAATATATATATATATATATATATTACATTCAACAATCTTGTTATATATTGTTTTTTTATTTAGTATTTTTATACATAATGCATTTTTATATGCTTAATATTTATATATTTGAATATGTATATTTATGTTTTAATCAATTTAAAATATGAAATAAATCACCTTTTTAATTAAATCAAATTGAATAAATTGAATATATTTTGAGTAAATTGTTATAATATAATATATATATATATCTTGCAATTTGATATATAATTTATATTTCTTACAATATTTATCATACCACAGTATGGAGTGGTTAAATTGAAACAGGTCTATTTCTTGATGTTGTATCTGGCATTTGAACATCCATATGTCTCTTCATATAAACATGATGGGCTGGTGAGAGATCGTGCGCGCACACACACACACACGCACACACACACACACACACACACACACACACACTCATATATGTGCTTTAACAGAAGCGTGTTACAGAGGCCATCTGCTAACGGATGCAATGCAAACACACACCGCTTGTTTGTTTATTTATTCCACTAGAGAAACTCCAACAGCTGCTATTCACTTAAAATATCACATTTAAAATTTATTTCACATAAAAAGATGCAGAATAACTACCAGCGCCGGTAATAACTCAACAACGACGGCCGTAATTACTATTGATCAGTACTAACTTTTTCTCTCTTAGGAAAAATGTAAATATCAGGATCTCAAGAGACTCGATACTTTGATAACTGTGGATAAAGATTAAAAATATTGCAGAGAGCGTGCTCATACCTCTCTAGTCGAACGAATACTTTATTACATATAAATAAACTAGATCCATAGATTTAAAAAATATATATTTAAGTAATTTATATGGCTATTAAAGACCTGAAAATCACATGTATCAATATTAAATGTCGATCACACTTTAGATTCGGGGTCAAATTCTCACTATTTTCTATAATAACTATGACTTTTGTCTCAATAAACTCCTAATTAGTGCTTATTAATAGTTGTTAAGTTGAGGTATTGTAAGATTAAGGGATGTAGAATATGTTCATAACAGATGCTGTAAAATAACATTTATTTCAAGCACTACTTTTTTGGTTTTCAAGGACTTCAATCAGAAATATCACTTATCAAACAACATCTTTATTATCTTTCAAATTCTAAAAAAGGTAAACAGATAAACAAAAATAAACAAAATGGTACAGATGAAGTGCAGCGGATGCAATGACTGTAGGAACTTTAACCATTGAAAGGATAATATGACAAAGATATCGCTTTCCTTGTTCAAACTGATTTTTTCTCCCATGAAGATATATGATTGACCGGAAGAATGAAAGCTGTATCATATACTTGGATATTTATGAGCAATATCACACTCAAAGCCATGCAGAATGGCTCTATGTCTATATCAGACGGACTGCAGCGTTCATTTAGTGTGAAAAGATTGTTTTATCAAGAAAATTAAACACTAATTTCCCATACTGTATATTGTCTTTCAATAATTCAAGCGCTTTTCAAGTACATTTCATAAATATGTCTGTTTTCAAGGGTTTCCCATAAATTTCAAAAAGTCAAATTGATTTTAAAGGGATAGTTCACTTTGAAATTAATTTTTGATATGTTTTAGCTTACCTCAAGGGCATCCAAGATATAGGTGTCTTTGTGTCAACAGAAGTTTCAATTTTGATATATTTAGGTCAAACCGTTCTTGTCTGTCAGTCATGTAATGCAGGTCTATGGTCACCACCTCAAAGAGCACGCACAGAGAAGTCCAAATTAAACATGATTTAATGACTCGTAAATGTAAGTACACATTGATGGCCTGAGACACGAAACGAGCGGTTTGTGTGAGAAAACGAACAGTATTTATATCGTTTTTACCTCTTGTAAACACAGCCACGTCCAAGTGATGTGAGGGCGCCGGCGCTTCGGTCTGCGTAAGCGCCGGAAGTGATCTCTCGCGCGTGTACGTCACTCATTGTTTACACAGAACAGAGATTGTAGGTAAGACGGCTAATTAAAATGGTACTAATTTGCGCTTATTCGGGATGTTTAAACCGTCGTAAAAGAAAACAATTCCAAAAAAATACAAAATAAAACAATTGTATGAGTGACGTACACTTCCGGCGCTTACGCAGACCGAAGCGCCGGCGCCCTCAGATCACTTGGACGTGGCTGTGTTTACAAGAGGTAAAAACGATATAAATACTGTTCGTTTTCTCACAAAAACCGCTCGTTTCGTGTCTCAGGCCATCAATGTGTACTTACATTTACGAGTCATTAAATCATGTTTAATTTGGACTTCTCTGTGCATGCTCTTTGAGGTGGTGACCATAGACCTGCATTATATGACTGACAGACAAGAACGGTTTGACCTAAAAATATCAAAATTGAAACTTCTGTTGACACAAAGACTCCTACATCTTGGATGCCCTTGAGGTAAGCTAAAACATATCAAAAATTAATTTCAAAGTGAACTATCCATTTAAGCACCATGTACGAACCCTGTCATAAGGCATTAATACGTGCTTTATAAACACTAACAGACAATACCATATTAATATGCATGATAATAAGCAACTAGTTAATAGTGAGAATTAAAAAAGTGTCTCAATGTGCTCAGATACAAAATCTGCAATCGAAATATTCATGCATTTCTCATCAAACCATGTTACTCACATTGATTACTGATCAAAATTATTCTGAGCTGAAGTAAATGTTACACATAAAACAAGTCATTTCTACATGGAAAAGTTAGTTCAGACAAAAATAAAAAAAAATAAACAAAGTAAATCCTATAATACTCAATTCTAGCTTGTAGAAATTAAAGCGTAAATATCAACGATATAAAATTAAGTAAAACCTACTCAACTTTTTTAATACTGGTGTTCCCATCATGCACTGGGGCATGAATAATTAATGAGGTTGATTTTTCACAGTTTTCCAGCAGTTTTATCATTGCTTTTGTTGTTAGGTTTAGTAACTTGATTAATCTGGATTAATTTTCAACTCAAAATGACACATTCATACTCAAAAAAACAATCAATCAATCGAATGTTTCCGTCATTGTGTACCAAGTATCTCTGTGTTCAGGTGCCATGTTACTTCTATTATGTAGATACAGTATGAAATCTATACAATATCTATTGAATATACTGTATTTATACTTGTATATATACAGTAAATATACTTAATGTTTCTACAGTAAAGCATAAACTTTTAAAGTATGGTTTAATTCAATGTTGTTTGAGTAAAAAGTTAATTTGGTTCAAGTTACTTACCTTAGTTAAATAGATGTTACTTAATTCTATATGTGAAATTAATTAAATTAAAAAACATTTACTTACTTCAATGAAATGTTAAGTGTCACTTAAATGACAAATGAATGTTAGGTAAGTAGATTTGACTTGATAATAACAGGCAGAACAGTAGCAGAAACATTGACTTTAAATGTGTTTAAACAAGTTGTGTTTTTATATCTGAGACATCTCAAGTTAATGAGCAATTACAGTAACTCTTACCTGACAGCCGTGAACGCTGGAGTCTCGTGAGTAAGAGTACGACGCTCGCTCCGGTTTCCCTGTTACAAGAGACGAAAGACAGATCATTAGCACATCATTCATTACTCAACTCAATCTAAACACTGTTGATCTTCTAATAACGTCCTTTAAACCTGAAAGGACGGGCGACAATGGGACGAAACCAGTGAGTTCCCACACGGCCAGCTGGTGTGAGCCTCACACACACACATTCAAAGACCTTCAAACATCACAAGCTGGGTTATCATCGCTAGCGCTAGTCGGACGCTTTGACGAACAAACGGACCGAATCTATTTGTGTTAAATGAAAGATTGAAGATGTTTGACTTGTGTTGTTGTTTTACTGATGTAGCGAGAACAAAGGAACATGAGGGAACGAGGCGACTAGCGGTTCGGCTCCTTTAGATTCAAGCGGGCATGAAAATCTGGCATTAGCAGAATAAAGACCTTCTCAAAGTCTCACAAACACTCGTCTACAGGCTGTTCATTATATACAGGAACATGCTTGAGTGAGCCACACACACACACACACAGCAAATATTGTTAAGGTCTTGTGACCTCATCCAGTCATAATCAAATGAGCTCGATTACGAAAGCCTGCTGATGTTCTCCTGAGCCGCCGTTACGCTGTCTGAACCAACGAAAGGCGTTTTATGGCCTTTTGAGGAAAGACAACAGTGATATTCAATACGCAAACATTAATTCTACTATTAAAGTCTTTGCCATCCATGCAACAGTGACCATATAGCACAACAAAAATCGATATATCTCTACAATCATCCATGAAAATCAACAAAAACAACAGATATTTACTACTGTAAACCTTCAAACACCATAGAATAAAACAAAGTACATATTTCCATCATTATAATAATAACAACTGTATAATAATAAGAACAGTTTTATGTCAAAAGCCCATTCGAATAAAGACAATAAAGCTATTTAACTAGTAACTTTCAAACACTTCAAGGTCTACTTTCTCTCAAAATAAATCTGCCAATCTAAAGCCATTATAACTCGATAATCATCATAAATGAATATGAAAATCTCAGCTGTTGTTTTTTTCTAGACTTTTTGTGTGTCAACAGCCCATCTATAAACTCTCTCTCTCTCTCACACACACACACACACACACACACACAGAGGAATCATTGTACTCTGTTGTAATCTGAACATTATCCAGGTGGCGTCCCAGAACATGTTGAGTCCTCAAAGGTCAAACAAGAGGTCAACCACTACCACATGCATGACCTGCGTCCAAACACACAACACAACACACACAACATTTGGCGATTCATGATGCAGAACACACGAAGAACATCGTCTGAAGGTCCCTGAAATATCCCACATGTGACTGAAGCATTTCATACACACACACACGGAGGAAATGCTCACACTCTCGTTCTTCGGGACGTTTAACGGTTCCCGAGAACAGTGGTAGTGTTTCCTCCTGAGTCCTGTGCTTTTGCTGGATTCAGAAACACATCTTGCTAAATCCTGCTAATCCACAGGACCGTGAATCTGGAAGTGGGAATGACATCCGGAAGAGAGCTGGAACGAGACAGGAATGCCACAGACGGAACATCACTCCGGAAAAACACACACATTGAGCACAGATGCTCACGCTCTTCCTGTGTTTGCTGTTACTTCAGTTCATTCTTCAGCTTGTTACCGATTTAAGACTTTTAAAACCTTTTGGAAATCAAAATTCAACTCTTATTTTTTTTTAATGGAATATCGCAGTGTTTAAATGCACATCATTAGTGTGTTAATAATCTTGAATCAGAATAACTTCCAGCATCTCTTCTCTTCTCTGATGACGAGGGCGGGGCTATGACCTGTCAATCACAGGAGATCCACCAATAGCAAACCACAACCAACCAATCACGTGTGTTCTTCCAGAAGCGTTTCACTCAGATGTAAATCACATTAGGGAAGACTAGCACAACAAGTTTCATGCCGACAAAAAAAAAAATACCATGTCCATATAAAACAAATCCATACAATCTTAAAACAAATCATGCATCTCAGATTATTTTATTTAAAGGCAAGACGCTACAGGTGAATAATGTAACTAGATGTAATATAAGCCCCCAGAAATATCACAGCTCATTTATTCCCTGTTGTAAATGGGCATTTTTGAGTGGAAGGAAAAACATGCTGTTTTCGTGCATGTGTCTTTAAATGCAAATGAGCGGCTGAGTCCCCGCCCCCTATCCAGAAGAGGGCGGAGCCTTCACAGCTCGTGTCTCGGATGATCTGCCAAAAACTAAAACATCTGTTTGGTTTTGATCATCATCTCTATCCATGCTCTCGTGTCACTGCAGTTCTGCATCTTCATGAAAGTGTATTATCTGCATGTGTTTATAAGTCATATCAGTCTAAACTTATGATATATGGTCTTCTGAGCGCACACATCTTCACGTCTTATTACTGCGCTTAAACTGACAAAAGGTTACGTCAAAAACACACAAAGTTCACATAAACACAGTCGGGTTATGTCTGTGAACGTAAACAGCAGGGAGAGAAATTGCACGTGTATATTAGATCTGTGTATTAAAGAGAAAGCAGCCATATCTACTGCTGTTAATATGAATCAAAAACAAAAGAAAAACTCAAAAATCCCTCACTGCTCTTGACTGAATAACTCTAGCAGCTTTAATAAGAATACACTTCTTATCTGAAAGCTCTGGCGAGGTGTATAGCTCACTCAGGGGCGGAGCTTAGCAAATAGGGCGGAGTCTGTCAGCAGTCGTGGGCGGAGCCTACGCATATGTGATGTCACATACGGTTTCAGATTTATGGGGAAAATAATGTAGTTGTGTACATGTTCAAAAACAATACAATATAAAAGTGAATTTTGCATGACAGCTTCCCTTTAAGGCAACTGTTTTGTATTGCACATTTTCTGATGTTGTTTAAATATGCAAATTAGGCATTATCTAATCAAATACATACTCATTTGCATAATCTGACCACTGGATGAAGCCAGATTGAAAGCTCTTGTTTGATTTTGCTGACATACTAGAGGGTTTTTTTGGAAAACACTGTCAGAACAGACATTTTCATCATGTTATTAGGAATAAAATGTTATAAAACTGTAAAGTTTGGTGTATGTAAAGTGGAGATTTCTGCTTTACGCAAAGATAACGTGTAACTAACAAACACTTCAATGTTTTCTTTCCACTAGTCTGAAATATGACAGAAATATCTCAATCAAAACTGCAAGTTAGTCTGACAAACCTTGACTTTATTTGTACCAATATATAAATACGAATCAGATTGAATCAATTCCTGTCCGTCCGTCCCCGAAGTCAAGAGCTCTTACACAGTGATGATTCAAACTTTTGCTATACTCTCCTTAAATCTGAAGGCTTTGTTTGATTCTCTGGGTTTAAAGATGGTGGATGTTTCCTCATTAGTTCACGTGTTTGTTTCTGCGCTGATATTTTAAGGCTAATAATATCGCTGTGCTCTGATCTCTGACTCTGAGTCACGCTGAAGTTTCTCTGTGGTTATGAGTGTGTTTTCAGCGTGACAGCCCCTCATTACACGCGCCCCGTGAATAACTGCTTTTGTTATGGATAATAACCGGCTCATAATCATCAGCTAGTCAAAGACAAACCCGCTCTGACTCATCGACGGCGCAGATTATGGATTATGTTGCGCTGGACCAGCTGCGCATCATCGCTGTCGTGAGCGAAACACACACACGTCATGCGCTTGCCACGGGAGAAACTGCTGAGAAGCGTAAACACGCTATTCCGCTGCTTTGGGTTTCATTGCGCTAATAAATCGCGTTGACAACATGAAGACTACGTTCAATCTATCACATCCGAGCCAAAAACACACGACCACCGGCACACATGCAGCAAAGAAACACATTGATTTGCATTCAGAAGTGATCATTACGACACAAAGCGGGACGATCGAGACCAGCGAGATCAAGCAGGCCGTTATCAGCGCTCGCTAACACACACACACACACACACACACACGCCAGATTCATCCGTGCCAGAGTGTTTAGGGGGGCAGGGTTGAGAGAAAGAGAGACAAAGAGAGAGAGAGACAGAGACAGAGAGAGAGAGAGAGAGAGAGAGAGAGAGAGAGAGAGAGAGAGTGAAAGAGAGAGAGAGAGATAGAGAGAGATAGAGAGAGAGAGAGAGAGAGAGAGAGAGAGAGAGAGAGAGAGAGAGAGAGAGAGAGAGAGAGAGAGAGAGAGAGAGAATAAAGGATAAAAAATGTGCTTAACCTTCTGAAACAGTTCATCAAAAAAGCGACATGCGATCGACAGAACGGGAACGTCACACAGATGCTCTGTCACTTTACACACACACACACACACACACACACACACACACACACACACACACACACACACACACACACACACACACACACACACACACACACACACACACACACACACAACAACCTCAGAGCTTCAATAAAACATATTCTGTCAGCTTTTGTGGGGAAATATTTTTGTTCATCTGATGTGATTATCAGTTTTAGTCAATTTATTAATTTAATTTAGACAAACTAAAAAAAAAACACTCTGAATGCAACTTACAGTATGATTGAAACATTGAAATATGTATAAATTATAGATATGGTGCGTTGAAGGAAAAAATATGCCGTTTCGACTGCAATTTTTTTTTGTTGCAATATTTCATATATTACTAGAAATACACATTTGTACTAACGCAACCTAAACTACATGTTTTAAATTGTACGTAGTCATAAATAAAAAACTGAAATGATTCCAAGGTCAAAGGTCAAGATCTATACCACCGAGTTCATACGGTTTTTGAAAGAAGTTTATTTGACCAAAAATACAGTAAAATTTGTGAAATATTATTATAATTTCAAATAGCGGTTTTCTATTTTAAAGTGTAATTTCTTCCTGTGATCAAAGCTGAATGTTCAGCATCATTACTCCAGTCTTCAGTGTCACATGACCCTTCACAAATCACTCTTGAAACATTTCTGATTATTATCAATGTTGAATTTTTTTTTATATTTTTGCGGATTTTATTTT